GAAGAAAAAAACCGTTTTTATTCTCTACAATTAACTACGAACTATAGTTATATTTCAATGTATTTATACGAAGATTTGACATGAAAACGTAACTTATGAGCTCGAACATAGATTTTCTCTTCAATTGAGGAAATTAATTACGAACTATTGATAAAATTAAATGTGTCTTCACGAACATTTGAGGTGGAAAATAAACCTTTGAGCTAGAGAACAAAAAAATCGTTTTTATTCTCTGTAGCTAACTACGAACTATAGCTAGATTTCAACATAATCATAGGAACATTTGACATGAAAACAAAACCTATGAGCTAGAAAATAGAATTTTTTTTTCAATTGACATATTTGATTACAAACTATAGCTAGATTTCAATGTATTTATACGAACATTTGACATGAAAAATAAACCTTTGAGCTAGAGAATAAAAGAATTCTTTTTAATCTCGATAATTAACTACGAACCATAGATAGATTTCAATGTAGTTTCACGAACTTATGATATGAAAAACAAACATTTGAGCCAGAAAATAAAATTTTGTTCAATTTATCTGTTGAATTACTAACTATTAATAAACTCAAACGTATTTCTACTAACATTTGAGTTGAAAAATAAATCTTTGAGCTCAAAAACAAAAATTTTCTTTTCCATGTATTCAGCTTATTACAAACTATAGTTAGATTTCAATATATCTTCACGAACATTTGACGTGAAAAACAAACCTTTGACATAGAGAATAGAATTTTTCTTTTTCTAATTGGTGAAATTAATTACAAACTATAGTTAGATTTCAATGTATCTTCACGAACATTTGAGATGAAAAATAAACCTGTGGCATGGAACATAGAAATAAAAGTTGTGATCATTGGATTTATCTAACTTAATCATATAATTTACTTGAAAGAAAAAGAAGAATTTGTAAATAAATGTTTACAACGACAGTAAATCACACGGCAGTAAATCACACGGCAGTAAATCCTGTAATCCTTATTTGAGACTGTTTTTCAAAGATTATCTCACTATTCTTGAATAAAAGCTGAGATGAAATTTGTAAGATCATATTTAAAAAGTGCATAATATACTGGTCTTAATCCATAGCTTTTGAATTCTTGGAAATACTTTCAAGAGAATCAAAAATAAACAAATATTTTATCGCAAAACTTTCGGCTCAACTGTTAGAAGTACCCTTTTATCTGTTTTCATCAAACTCAATAACGATACCGTATACTATAGGTTATACTACTTAATCCGAAGATTACACTCGAATTTGTGCATAGTATCTTCATTGAGAATAATGGGAGAACGTTGGTATCATTTGCCTATTGCCTTGTGTTTCTATTTACCGTTTCAACTGTTTTATCGCTTATTTTGCATGATATGTGCGTTGATTTATTTTCTACTATTCTGCCTTCGTCAACCAATAAGTTCATGTTTTCGAACACGGTATGCTAAAAATGCTTTACCTACACTGATTACTATACGATGTTCTCATTATTGTGAAAAAGCACGATGGGTACTCGACTTTCTACAATATGTAACGTCTCAGAAATCCACTCACGAACAACTGAAACAGATGGAGAATGATTCGTATCGGTATTTAGAACGGGTTTGCGTTTGATTCTTACTCATATGGTCTCATCGCTGTGGCACACTAATGGGTTTTCATCGAGTACACCGGTGTACATAACGCGAGATAAACATGTACTAACAGATTCTTCTGATATCATACAGTACGCTAGTGACGAATTATGTAAACTAGGACAACCAACACTTTATCCAATTGCTGACGTAGAAGAATTAGAAAATTATTTTAATCAAATACTTGGTGTACATGTACGTCGCTAGGGTTATTGGCTGATGTTTCAATCAGATGACATGGAGGATGAATTAAGAAACTGCTGGTTACGCGATACAGTTGGATTCGAAAAATTGATTCAACAACATTTTTTTGGTCCAATAAAAGCATTAGCAACAAAAAGGAATGAATATTCATGTACAGCCTAATCTAGTTTCAAAACAACATATTGGTCAAGTCTTTGAGAAAATAAACCAGAAGTTAGAAGAATATAAGGGGATCGTATCTTTTCAAAACGACTTATCCGACAGCAGCCGATCTTACTTTTGCTGCTCTAGCATATCCGATGATTTTTTCTTTACAATGTGATGATCTGATTATTAAGTATAACCCAAATATTATGAGTCGTCAAATGTACGAGCAAGCTACGGCTTATCGTGAACAACGAGCAGGGAAACTCGCATTACAAATGTAGGAACAAGGCAGAATTGTTAATCGAATCAAGCCAAATCATACTTGAAACTTTAAGATATCCTTATCAATCCTGTTCTTCATGATATGCCCATTTTTCTTTTTTCATGCGTTTGACAAAGTATTACGTGATTTGACATATATATTTTCATTATGATTATTTATATTAGCCATTTTCTAGATTGTACGTTCCATATAAATACAGTAAATCGGTTCATACTGGTTTAGAGATGTGGGGGAGCTAAGTTTTTTTTAATCCTCGTTATTGAACTGGATAAGATGGTGATTTGTCATATAAAGAAGAATTATTGAGTTTGCACATTATTGATGTGTCTGGCAGTGCGAATTAATTTGATTGTGTTGATTCATTTGGATTTGAAGTAATTGCTATACAAATTTTATTTTATTATCTGCATTGATAGCTGGAAGTCAGCAAAACTTTTTCGAAGCAGTACTATTCATCGACCATATACAATCAGACTTAGAAGAATTTACGTCTTTACGTTTCATAAATTAACATAATTGTTCATGACAGTTATAAGAAAATGTATAGCAAAGCTATTTTATACGAATTGTGTGATGTATAGGATGAAAGTCTTGTATCGTGCAACATAGCAACTAAATGGTTGCAACACTTCAAACAGGGTAGAACCTCTGTAGAAGATGATCCAAGCATTGACTGATCAGTTATCGAAGTCATCAGCAAAACATATTAAAGCGATTCGCGCGTAAATACAGGTAAATTTTTGTTCTCAAAGAAAATTAAGCTATTGTTTGGTAACAAAAAAAAATTGCACTTTTCTTTTCGAAACTTATTCGAATTTGTATCATTATTATGATCATAAGATCGTTCAGTGTCTTTTGTTATTACTTTTCAGTTATTTATTGACATTTTTGCAAACGATCGAATCGTGAGTGTCTTTCTTCAAAGAAGATTGTTTTATAAGTAGTCGTTTTTATTCTTTCCATCAGAATATATCATTATTAGTGTTCATGAATCTAGGATGAAAGATTTGAATGATCTTATCATCATAATAACGATAGGAATTCTAGTTATTTTCGAAAAGAAAAGTGTTATTTTTTCTGTAGTGTTGGTGGACTCGGTCATTCAGAATAAAAACTTACTGATCTCCTCTCTAAAATAAAGAAAAAGACTTGTGGTTAAGCTTGCTCAATGACGGAGTTATATGCATTTATTAAGTGATCATGACTTTTGGGATAGGCAGTATTTATTTTTATTGGATGGAATAGGTATTTGTTGAAATGTGCTACCCAGTGATCCTCTGCTTTTTGGAATCTGACATTGAGTTTTAGTATTTAGTAATTTGTACTGTGTCTTGTCAAGTACAAACCAGATAGAAATAAGACTAATAATATGGTTATTTATACATACAAAAGCTGCTACATTGTAGTGTTTGTAAATAAAAAAAAATCAGTAAAATCCAGATATTTCTCAGACGGCAATCAGCAACTATCATTTGTATCACTGATGGAATTAAATATGAAGAAAAGAAAAATAATTGATAGCACTCAAGATTGGATCTGAAAACATGCAAATCTTTACTTGATAAATTAGAAACGTTTTCTTCTTGGTAAAAAATGTTGGATAAAATAGGCCTTTGATAGACATCGATATATGTTTTCTTAGAATAAGCGTTTGGAGATTTAAACGGGTTGTGCTAATCGTACTCTTTGTTACTGTTTGTCTCTTTTGATAGAATGAGATTCATGTTATCTTTCATAAGATGATGATTTAACTTGAAGCATTTCAATGATAGACATTTGTTGAGTGCAGTTCACTTTTCTCTTATCTACATGTAAGATAACAAACAATGTCGTTCTTTCTTATTTTTACTTGTTATGCACTCATCTTCTGCTTATTTCTATTGAGTGATCATTATTTTTCTCCTTATTATGTCTATTGTTCATCCAAGCAACTATTACCATCAACAAACTGGTGATTACCACAAGTTGTTCTTCTACATCTTGCATGTCTTTTGGTATGGATTTTAGGCGCTATTTTTTGCATGTCTTTAAGTTCCATTTCAATAACATTCTCGTTTGATTGCTTTCTATGTACAAATATTATTTCATTTCATAATGAAATAGAATGCCATCATTGCACCATTTATTATACCTCGTTATCTCTATATTTATTCTGTTGTACCATTTTGTTGATTCATGGCTAATTGGACATGTATTGTAGCACAAATTGAATCTAAACTTCATCCATGTTCCGATCATCGGTTATTTCTTGTTCGTGTTAGTAAATCGATGCGAATTAGATTTGTGTTTTTGGGTCAGCAGTGTCACATATCCAAGATTTTGGAGATGCTACCACGTCTCCCGCGGGAGATGCCGTATCTCGCTCGAGAGATGCGGTTGTGGGTGTGGGGGATGCGCATCTCTAAAGGAGATCTTACATCTCCAGTGGTGAATGACCATATCTCTCGAGTGTGGGTGTCGCGTCTCCCGCTGGAGACACGGCATCTCCCACAGGAGATGTGGTGGCATCTCCAAAATCTTGGATATGTGACACTACTCGTGGGGTTCTGAGAGAAACAATGTAAAATCTTGAATCGATTCTGAAATAGCTCTTAAATTACAATTTTCTAGAAAAAACTGAATTTTAATTTTTTTCAATAGTAATTATTTTCATCACTTTCTGAATCATTTTGAAAATGATAGAAATCATCAAGCTTCCAAAACAGACAGAGTTACCTTGATAGTTATTTGTTACTAAGAAAATTTTTCTATAAGCGAGCTGATTCGATATGGCAATTGAAAACCACCTCTTTGAGAGTTTACATCACAGGCAACATTTCTCATTATATCTTCAATATCGTGATTGGATTTTGCAATATATTTTAACAAGTTTTCAATGAAAATACCATTTCTATCAAAGATTTTTGGTGGCGTATGCATAGGTGATAAACCTTGCTTCATATGTTTCGCTCGAGTTTTTATCAAATCTCTGCAACAATCAAATATATAGATTGTGACACAACACATTTTATCGTCTATTTTCTTCATGATATATTGTACATTAATGGCATGTTTCGTAATGTAGTCCCGTTCATGACTTCGAAAATTATAATCATAATCTAATGGTAACAAATAATTTTCATCTTCCGATTGTTTACCATGTCCAGCAAAATAAAATAATACTAAATCATCATGTTGAATTGTATCAACAAATCTATCAATTATCTTGTAGAATTGATTCACAGCACAGTTCAATTCTAAGGTTATGTCGAAATCGATAAATCGAAGATTTGTACTTAAATCTTCCGCGTCATTAACACAATATTGTAATGGATCACGTCGATATTTATTGACACCAATGATTAAGGCACGATTTCGTCGATAAACAACAGACGATGCCATTAGATCTAAAAAGGTACGAACAAATGTTGAGAGAAGAGAAATCTTTTTCTTTTCATGTATTTGATGAATTTTCAAGTTGGTTTACTTTGTAATTATATAACTAATCAAATTCTTTGCGGACATTTTTCTAGAACTATTTTTTTTTTACTATTCAATATGTATGTGTCTATAAAAAAATGATCTCCTTTTTTTATACATATATGATCCTTTAGAACTAGTTAACGAGAAAAGTAGTGAAAAGAATATGTCATGCAGTTTATACATCATTTTTGCCATGTGCGCAGATTTCTTTGTTTTTTTTTCGTTCGGACGATGTTGACTTGCTTCAAGAAAGTTTTTGTTGATGTTGTGTGGTGAAATTTCAAGATAATGCTCAAAACAGTGAGACGCTTGCAATATACTTATTTGTTCTGTTCTCTTTGTGATTTTTGTTACTCGTCGTCGAGAAGTAACAGAAAGAAAGACAAATACTTATATTTTCTTAGTGACTAATAGCGTTGGTTTTTTCCAATTCACAAAACACTTTATAAACTCAAAAAAAAATATGTATTTAGATGTATTACAAATTTTCACATTGACTTTAACATTCAAATCATGTTGAGAGATTCTTCTACTGGTGACAATGAACAGATATTGGCTGCAGCATTTTCAGCAATATTGGGCAAAGAAATTCTATCTGAATCAAACATACCACAACAAACACAACAGCATATAAACAAAATTTCCATATTTGATCAACATCTAACATGTTTTGTTTATGGAAAAGTTGGCCAACAGGATACAAATAAAGATGAATCATTTATGACAATATACATCACAATTCTAGCAACGAAAACTAACTTTCCTGTTACAATTGAATGTGATGCTAGTGTCGATAAACTGAAACAAATAATTTATGAGAAAGAGGGTATATTACGTAATAAACAAAATTTAATTTATTGTGGACAAGAAATTGATGAAGGTCATTTATTAAGTGAATATGATATTCAAGAGTCTAGTGAAATAACTGTCGTACGTTTGAGAGCTATGAATTCAGATGATTTGCTAGTCTTAGATAAAGCTGCATTGGATCCCATGTATGATTATGATTTTACTAACATAAATGATAACGGAAAAAAATTTACTCGTGGTGGTATTGAATATCGTCGACCATGTGGATGGCAACGTTATGCAATTAAAGTGACTGGAAAGTATGAAAATGATATCTGGCTTGGATCAAATAATAGTCCTGATGAATGGCCTGTATCATATCATGGAACAAGACATGACGCAGTAAATTCAATTGCACAGATCGGTTATGATCTAACAAAACATCAGCGTTTTGCTCATGGTCGTGGCATTTATTCAACACCAGACGTCAACGTAGCAAAAGGTTTTGCTAAATCTTTTACCAAAGATGGACAACAGTATCTTGTTATTCTCCAAAATCGTGTTAATCCAAAAAATTTAATTAAATTACTTCATGAAGACACTGGAAACGGTGAATATTGGATATCATCCGTTGCTGCTGATATTAGACCATATGGAGTTTGTATAATGAAGAAGCCGTGATACACAATACACTAATTCACACATTGATATCAATTATATGTTTCAACTTTAATTTATGATTTAGATTAAAGAAAACTGTATTAAAAATTTATTGTATTATTATAAAAAAAAATATCAGATTGTTGATAGCTGATGTAAAATCTTTTTCTGATTTAGAGTTTAATGAATTATTTTATATATCTAATATCTCACTTTCTCATAAACGCAAGCATCTAGACATTAAATCGCATACACACATGTAGAATCTTTTTTCTATGAATATGATGAAAATGAAATTGAAATGAGTCATGAAATATCACATATTATTTAACGAAAACGTTAACATTGTTCTGACTTAGATATTACATGCTGTGAGAAACAATGTTTATTATAATATAAAATTAGAACATAAAGGATATATGAATTGTATGATCCATGATACTTATTAGTAATAGAAAAATATAATTGAATAAAATGAATATGTTAATTTATGTAACACGGACGAAGCTAAAGAAGAAGGTACCATTGAAATTAAAGCATTTATTTCATTATTCCATTAAATAGATTTTTGTCAATGATATTGACGAAAATATTTTTTTAATTGAATGTTTGTTCTAATGCACAATGAAGTACAAGATTCACGTATAATTTCTTTCTCATTCACTAATGACTAATGTTTCCTATTTATGGAATAGATGAATATACAATTAAATTAGCATGGCTATTGTGAAGACGAGTAAAGAGATTTTTGATTCTCTTGAAAATATTTGTCCTATGTCGATAGACATTTCTTATTTTTCATAATGCTGACTGAGAATTTCTTTGAATCTAATGATTACTATTTATCTACTATTTACGATAATCATCTAACTGATTTTGATAATCTTTATTATTATATTTTTGTTTATGCATCCTTTCAATGTGTTTACGATTACGATGGCGCAATTTTTCACTACAATAGACAGAAAGATAAACGAGAAGATTGTTACTACATGTAATAATTCAATCTGCTCAAAAGAATTTCAAAAAATAATTATTTAAGAAGCTGAGAACCATGTGATAGGTTTGTCTTAGTTGTCTATTATCAACAAAACTTCGAATAGACTTTATGCTAAGGTTGTAATTATCACATTTTGTAGCTTCCATATATATATATATATATGTAATCGTTCACAAACTTGGAAGATTAACAACAATAACGATGCACAACGAATTCGATAACGAACAACAAAAGTGATTAGTCAAGATCAAGTCCTAAGACAAATACATTAGAGCTATCGTTTGACAGAATTGGCATCAAAATTATTAAGGAAATGAAATAACTTTTAGAATAGTACTAGTGAGAGGAAAGTAAAGTCGCTTACCTGTTTCTATGAGTTATACTTTGGCATTTTTCAACGTTCTTCTCTTTCAAAAGTTTAGATCAACTTTTGGTAATAGCATATTTGTAGTCGCACTTGTACTTATACCGGTAATTAACTTAATAGCACCCATATCAATATATTGAATCATCATAGTCGAGTTAAAAAGAAAGTTTTTCTTTTCAAGTCTGATTTACAATACTGAAAATTTTCTTCATCAGGATTAAATGTTAATATCAACTACTAGAGAGATATCAGTGTATATTAGAGTGTACAATATAGCAAGACCAGGATAACTGAATAAATTCCTATTTCACAGATCAATGTATCTAATTAAAGCGAAGATTCTGTACTTGCGATTCAATCGATAAATTATTCAAAAACTCAAACAATGTTCTTCACCAGTGTCGTCAACTATCTGACTTCGATGCTGATTCTTTGATGCTAGAATCTTACAATTGAATGTGTTTCTTCATTCAAATACTTAAACTATGGTTGACTAAGAAACCACGTTAGGAAGATATGATCGGTCGAAAGTGTTTCCCAATTCGACTACAAATAACATTGATCAACTCAATCAGATATGGTGAAACTTCTTCCCTGAATCTTCGATGTGCTCTTTTTTTTCACTTGGCTATCAGACATTTCTCCTATGTTTAATAATTGGCAATATTTAATGCTTAACTACTTTCAGTAGATGCCACAAAAATGTGTATATTTCTGCTCATACTAAGAGCGTGTCTTCTTCACTTTTATCTATGATGACTGATCGCTCGATGTTGTGTGCTACGCATATCAGGAAAAATATTTCAAAATTTAGGCAAGATCCTTGAATAATTGGTGACCGGACTTTTTGTTGCAAGACAAATCGTTGCGGACAAATCGTTGCAGACAAATCGTTGCAAGGACATTTCGTTGCAGGACAATTCGTTGTAGGAAAATTAGTCGCGGACATATCGTTGTGGACAATTCGTTGCGGACAAATCGTTGTAAAAAAGTCGTCGCATGGACAAAACGTCGAGGGACAAATAGTTGCACGGACAAAACGTTGTAGGGACAAATAGTTGCACGGACAAAACGTTGTAGGGACAAATAGTCGTATGGACAAAACGTGGCAATAGTCTATAATTTGCTGTATACAATATTTGAAAAATGTCAGTGGCAATGTGATAGTTTAAAAATTATTTACTAGGTTTCTTTCCTCTGCATTTTTATATGTAGAACCCTTCCTTCTTTTTATATGTTCTGTGTACGTTTTATTTCACTTTTTTTTTTCTCTCTCTCTTCTCATTTCTGGTACTGTTAGGATCTTAGGATCACAGTTATTGCATAATAAAAAAAAAAAATTATTTACTAAATTTTTGTAGACAATGATTGGTTGATTCGTTGTTATACTTCTAGAATAATAAATATTTCAAAAGAATGGAATAGTTGACATATTGGAAAATGAAAACTGAATTTCTTATCTATTATTGTAGAATATAAAATTTGACGATTGCAAGGTTTTGTCCATGCGACTATTTGTCCCTACAACGTTTTGTCCTGCAACGTTTTGTCCCTACAACGTTTTGTCCTGCAACGTTTTGTCCTTGCAACGTTTTGTCCGTGCAACTATTTGTCCGCAACGTTTTGTCCGCAACGATTTGTCCGCAACAATATGTCCGCGGCTAATTTTCCTACAACGATTTGTCCTGCAACGAAATGTCCTTGCAACGATTTGTCTGCAACGATTTGTCCGCAACAATTTGTCCTGCAACGAAAAGTCCTAGAACCGAATAATTATCTTCTACTGGAGTAAACGTTGATAAACATTCTAGATGAGCAACAATTCGGATATCATCTCATGGGACAACAAATTCAATCGTAAAATTTCATGAAAGAGATTTGTTATGGTTGGCCAAGTTCCAAGAAGTATTGACATTCATTATTATTCGTTCGTTCTTTGCAAGTTTTTTTTTGGGCTTTACCCGCTCTCTCTATTATTTCTCTGTCATGCATTGTAACTAAGTGAATGCACCTTTACGACCACTACGATCAGAATACAATAGTAAAAGGCTTTTATGAAAAATAAGTCGTATATTAGTCAAGATAATACTTGTTAGTAGTCGA